GACTACAATATATCATGATTTAAGAAACTATGCTTAAAATTCTTGTTTGAAATGTATTGATTTGAATACTATACAGAACACACACGTCAAAAATAATGGTTACATGGAGAGAATTCTTTAATTTGCTTTATTTTAATTACGTTTCAAATTTAATAGCTTATAATTTAAGATCAAAGAAGGGCTGTGCTCTAGAGGTGCCCAGGTGCCCCAGGTGACTAACTTTTGACTTTGGGCAACTGGAAAAACTAACTTTTTTATATTGTAAGCTTAATAATATACATGGAAAAATTACTCGATTCTGATTGGCTGATAGCAGTGCAGTTCAAGTGTAACACCAGTGCAAAAAGTGTAACACCGATGGAAAAAGTGTAACACCGGTGCAAATTACACATCGTAATTCTGGATTATGATTGGCTGAAAGAAAATAGGAAATTATCGAAGCCAATGATATTACATAAAATGATGAGGAAAATTTTGTGCGGAAACTTTGAAAATTGTTTTCTCGAATGTGAAAAAATGGCTTCAAGAAAGAAAGGTCTTCCGACACTTCCTCCATGCAAATTTTTTTGTTTTTCTCGTTCAATTAGGAATTAATTTGCACTTGTGAGTTTTTCAAAAAGCTGAAATTGCAGTTGCCGAAGCAGCTCGTGCAATTTCAGCTTTTTGAAAAACTCACTCATGCAAATTAATTCCAAATCGAACAAAAAAAACTGTATGATTACCTATACTAAGTGCTGGGCACCAAGGATTTCATGGTCAGGAGCCTTTGGGCTGCTTGTAATTTTTCCTAGACCACAGCCTTGTCAAAGTCTATTTTGTTGACCTGATCTAACATTTTAATGCAAGAAATAACTTTACTCGGACATTATAGTTACCCTTTCTAATTACAATGGTTCGTAACAAAACCCTTGGGGGTAAAAAAAACCACTAAAACACCCATCATTATTGCGTAAAATAGAGCATAGTGAGTCCATTTTTTATTATATTTTTGCAATATTCATGGCATAATTACCAAGTGGACCAAGATTGAGTAAGTTTGGAATACTCCTTTGAAGTTTTTTGATGGAATTATCACTAAACCATTTAATTCCTATTTCTTCAGTCTACAAGTATTTGCCATGTAAAAATTCAGCATGCTGTAAGGTTTTAGCAATTCATTATTTTAATGTCTGCCAGATCCCTAGAAATATGGTTATCGATTGAAAATTCAAACAGCTGAAGACATTCATGCGGAAAGACAACAACTCAAAATGCTTGAGGGGGTTTTATGCCACACAGGTTCATATTGTTGTAGCAACAAAAATATTTAATGAAATTCATAAAGAACAAAGATGACTATGCAAATATGATAAAATTCAGGGCAAAAACATTGACAGCTGTGACTGGGCATGAATGAAAAACATTTCCTGTCACTTCATATCCGAATTTTATCCAAAATCAACAAATTTCCATCCTTGAACTAAAACTGGATAAGTAATGTTTTTACTAAACCTAATTGCACAAGAAGTTTATATGGAGAGTAAATATTGTATGCAATATTGACATCCTAAAAGCACTCAGAGAAATAACGCAAATGAAAATGTGTTAATGGCCACTTTTATGACAGACAAATTAACTTTTGCCTGAAGATCACGATCAAATCTTCGATCGAGCTGTGGACTGTCACTCGGTCGATTTTACCAAACTTACACGAAATTAGCATGGAAATTAACATTTGAAATGGAGTCACTACACATGCTGGCTTTTGTGTAAATATTTGACTAACAAACCTATTAAACACCAGGCTGCGGATTCAATCCAGCATGTTCTCCTTTAGACAAAGCCATTAAAAACAATACAGAAACAACCTAAGCTGATATGAAATTCAGCTGAACACAAGTAAGCAGGAGTTGTTTTCAAACCTCAGAATATTCTTCACCGCTTGTGTATTCGCTGCCACTGACATAGCTTCCCGATTGAGAGTTCTGCTCTTGTTCAGCCTGAAAATTAATGAAATATAACAGTTTCAAGGTTTAAGTATTTTATCAGCTAAAGATGTCGGGGTCATTGACTACGCCATATAGCGTCCCTTGTTGTTATGGTTGGCCCACGCCGCGTGAATCACACATTCTTTGCTAAACAAATTTTTCACTTCCTCGAACTAATCTCCTCAAGAGGATACCAGACGTTTGAAACAAAATAGATAAATGGCAGAGGTTTCCGCTAATAAGCGAGGATCCATTGCATACTTAACTTTCATAATTTGGGAAGATATCAGTTTATAAGAAGGGTACGATGATATGTTTATGCGTGAAGATGGGATCCATATCGAATTTCAAACCTTACAAGTAGTTTCGAGTTATCAGGACCACGATAAGAAAATATAGTTAAAAGTGAATTTAAAAAGCTTGTGGTTTGCTCAAGAATTCGTCTCTCTTTGACAAAAGTAAAACTTCGTTTCCCTAGCTTTACAACGGCTAGTGCGTGTCAATATCATCGGGTAATTTGTTAGTTTCTTGATTGATTTCCTCATGTGATCTGCATCCATGTAGAAAATAAATCAGTTATAAACTCACATCAAAAGGGATCGGAGAGCCAACTTCTGAGGCAATGGATGGTGCATCTCTGTCTGTATCTGCTTGGCTTATTTCCTCCACTTCCACATCTTCGCCATCTTTTGGGGGAATTTTTTCCTCCGCGGCAACTGCAGCCTCCGGTTGCGGCAGCTTTGTACCGCGATCTTGAGAGGTGCTTCGACGCCTTCGTTCTCCTCGAGGCGAAGGACTCTGCGCAGAGCCACTTGTCGAAGACCTGTCTTTTTTCTTCTTTTTCTTCGTCCCTGTACCTGATTTCTTCTTTTGGAACATCTTAAGCTGCAAGCGAAAAAGAAAGAAGGTCCATCAGGCCGCTGAAAAAGCAGTTGAAATGCAAACTAGTCAGAGAAGTTTATAAACTTCGCGCGCTTGGCCACGTCACATGCATGAATTCCCACCTTTTCCTTCCCTGCCTCCAGTTTCTTCTGCCTTTCCGAGTCGTCGCTTTCCATGGTGAATCAGTCGAGCTGTTCTATCTCGTTCACCTTGAGATTTTATGGAGATATCATTTACGCACGTTCCGATCCGCGTTTACTACCACAACCGCCATTTTCAGCTTTGTTGTCGTCCCGTCGTAAGTTCTGATCACGTGATCGGCTAAATACTTCGGCCATTTTCGGCACGCAACGAGGTTTCACGAAAGTTTGAACGAGAAAAAACTGGGCTCTAGAATGACTGCGCAAATTATGACCGCATTGCAATGTGGGTAGGTTGCAAAGGAAAGAATCAAGATGGCGACAGAACTAGAGTTAGCCGAAGAAATGTCAAATTCCTCGCCAGAACGAGCGATGGAGTTGCTTTCTTCTATAGGTAAGCCACAGTTACGTATGCTTAATACTATTTTTTTATGTTTTTCTCTCGATGTAATGTTTCTGATGGGAAAGTAAACTGGGATTTTCAATGAATTCAAGCATAACGTAGCTTTTGTTCATAGTAAAACGTGACATTCAAGCCGGAGACGAAGAGGGGATCAAGATGAAGGAGCAAGCCATTCTGAATCTTGGAAAAATGCTTTCAAAGCACGGAAAAGCAGAAGGTATGCGTAGCTCTGTATTATAATTAGACGCACATTGAAAGTAAAGGTAACTATATAAGCTCAGAGCACTGGTGGAGCAACGTATGAGAGTGCCAGGCCTGAAATGTTTCTCAAGTCTGTCTGGTATTACATTTGGCAGTGAGCGCAGACAATCTTTCAAAGTACCATACATGTAAGGAAGGCCAAAAATTGTACGAAACTTGCAACTTCACAAGAAGATATCTGGTGCATACTAGTTGAGAGAGACCCTTTTACTAGCTACATGAATTTAAATATGTGTAAACTTATTATTAAGATCATTACAAAAAATTATGTGGGTGTGAAGGTTAGGTTTCAACTATCATTTTAAGACAAAAAAGTATCAGTGTTCTAAATGGATCTGTTGGCTAAATGTACTTGGCACAGTGTGCTAAGTTTTGAACCACCGCACCAACTGTGTGCAACCAACTGTTATCTATTTCTTTTCCTTTCTTTTCTTTTTTCTTGTTAGAGCTTGGAGGACTTATCAAGTTCATTAGACCATTTCTTAAAATGGTATCAAAAGCAAAAGCAGCCAAGCTTGTCAGGAACTTAGTAGATGTATTTCTTGACATGGAAGCATCAACAGGAATGGAGGTGGGGTGTTTGATCAACTGATCGTCAAGTTTGGCACTGAAAGAGCTAAATCCAATGATCTTAGTTAAGAGTACATGTACATGAAAACAGTCTAGAAAAGCGCACAACCCAAAATCAAGAATAAAAGAAAAATCAGTTAGTTTGTAATTTTCACAATGTACTTATGTGGGAGGTGCGGTGGCCTCATGGTTAGTGCACTTGACTCCGGATCAAGCGGTCCAGGTGCGAGCCCTGGCTGAGGACATTGTGTTGTGTTTTTGGGCAAGACACCTAACTCTCACAGTGCCTCTCTCCACCCAGGTGTATAAATGGGTACCGGCACATCTAATACTGGGGGTAACCCTGCGATGGACTAGCATCCCATCCAGGGTAGAGTAGAAGTACTCCTACTAGTCACTTCATGCTACTGAAACCGGGAGAAGCTCTGGCCTGATGAGCCACTAGGCTTGCATGCAGACTTTACCTACCTACCTTACTTATAAATGAACTGTTTCATTTTGAACCAAAATCCCATACATTGCAGTTGTAACATGTAAGAGCAAAGCCTTTAAGTGACATATTAATTTTTTTTAAAAATTCAAGGCTTCTGTTGGTTGAATTTTGTATGCTTAAACTAAACAGAAACCTTTCTTTACTTAGCATTTTGATAGAACCGGTAATAACTGTTTAATTATATATTATTATTGTAACTTACAGTAATTTCTTTCCAGGTTGAACTCTGCAATGAGTGTATCGAGTGGGCCAAAGATGAAAAAAGAACATTCCTCAGACAAGCCCTTGAGGTGTGTTCCATTGTATTCTCATCCAGTCAGCTTCTTTCAACAACCTTATAAAATGCTCTAATGTGAAGATACATGAACATGTACCTTTGGAAGACTCGTCTGATTTTGATCTTATTACAATTTTGTGCTGGAAAATTGTGGGAAGTGACGTTTCCAGTTTTTGCTCCATTTGCCTATATTAGCTCACTCAAAATGACGTATATGCTAAATTGTTTAATTAAGGGTCCAATTCCTGTGGCAGAGGGTGATATGATATTGTTTTAACCAGCCGCAGCAAGCTATACTTGTAAACATTTTTCATCAATTTTTTGTTTTTTTTTTGTGTGTCATCTTTAGGCAAGACTAGTGGGTTTGTATCTTGACACCAAGGACTACTCAAAAGCGTTGCAGCTAGGTGAGCACATGCAATGATTTTATTTTATCCTGGCATCCTATCTACATTACTTCAATGTTTTTTTTTACAACTGTACACTTCTTGTACATTTTAGTAATACATGTACGTCTGGGGGAGGATTTGATGTTTTGGTAACCAGAATAACAAAATTATATGTAAAGTTGCTTTGTATGTGTAATGATATATTACCTGTCAAGATCCTTTTCAATGTACATGTTGTCAGTCAAAATGAAATTCGGGTTAAAATGAAATTCCTTTGTCTCTTAACCCTAATTATTCATGGATCATGAATAATTAGGGTAAGAAGACAAAGGAAATTGAGAATCAAACTAGGTTAAAATCATTTTAACCTGAATTTCATTTTGACCTACCACATACATATTTAAATTTTGCATTTATCATGGATAGATTAAATGTGTTTGAGGACAGAAAAACATTGCAGAATTCACTTATTGCCATGTATGCTTTATGCAAGGCATATTTATTAAAAGTTAAAGATTATATGCGATTGTCTTTCTGCAGGTTCAAAACTCTTAAAAGAACTTAAAAAGCTGGATGACAAGGCTTTACTTGTTGAAGTACAGTTGTTGGAGAGCAAGGTGTATCACAACCTCAGCAACATTCCTAAATCCAGGTAATGATAATGCAGAAATGGTTCACTGTAAATGCTTGTAGGCCATACGGTCCTGGATCACTTGAATTTTCAGCATACAAACTTTCACATTTATTTGAGGCCAGATCCAATGTATATCAACTTGTTGGCAAGTGATACAAGTATGTGGTGTTCAGTCAAGGAAGTTTCGAATTCTGGAAGCCTCTTGCAAGATTCAGCTGTTTGGTTTCCTAAGACGAGAGTTACTTCTTTCCATGTTCTGTCTCAAGACTAGAGTCACAAATACATCGTATTCGGAGATGCTTTCCTTTGTATACTCTGGTACCATGCTAGGGTAAATTTTGAGAAGTGCCACACTGAACTATAAATGTAACGAAAGGACATAAAATGGAGTCACTAAGAAAAGCATTCTTTCACAGTTTTCTTTCATACTATCTGAGTATGTAACTTCCTTTTCAAACACTGCAACATTTGATGAACAATCCTTTTTTTTTTCATTCTAAGGGCTGCCCTTACCTCAGCAAGAACAACAGCAAATGGAATTTATTGCCCTCCTAAACTACAAGCATCATTAGACCAACAGTCAGGTATAAAGAATTCTAATTTACTAAATTGAAAACGACTTCGTATCGTTTTGCTGTCAAGAAAAAATTGCTGCATACTGAACTGCTTGGTTGTGTTGTTATTGGTACCAGGGATCTTACATGCTGAAGAGAAGGACTTCAAGACTGCATACTCTTATTTTTATGAAGCATTTGAGGTATGTGATAGATATAATTCTTTGGCTTAGTGGGCAGGCAGAGGCAGGGGGATGTGTTTTATGACAGAAAAAAAGTACTTTGTGATTAATTGTGCAGTGCAGCACAGATTCTTAAAAATATAGGAATCTGATAGGAAATTTGTTTTTTCAGCATAAAATGGGAGAAAGACTATGCATACTCTCCCAGACTATATGTGTCAGTTTGTGAACCTCAAAGTGATTAGTAAATTAACTGCTGACAAAGAGACTGTTGGTCTATATTTTGAGTTTTTATCCTTCAGAAGATGTCGGTTGTGTCAAAACAGTTCTTAAAATTGAAGTGGATGAACATGCCTGGAGGTTTCTTCTGCTGCTAATTTTCCGCATGTGGAAAATAACACATTATTAAAGATGGTTACTCTTTCTTCAGGGATTTGATTCCATTGATAACCCAAAGGCAGTGTCTGCATTAAAATACATGCTTTTGTGCAAGATCATGCTTAACAGGTCAGTGTAAAGTAATATACATTTGACACTAAAAATTACAGTTGACCTAGACATTGATCATTTATTGGTTTATTTGACAGTTGAATAAGTGGTTTGCCATGCTCTCTTATTGTTTAAAAAATGAGTGGGTTGCATTACAGGCCTGCAATACATACAGAGAGCTATGTGGCTGTACATTGCCCAGGTCATACATTGCCAGCCCATATTGTTAGCCAGTAAAACCAAGGACACTTTCTACTCAACCGAAAATTCTGGAACTTGAAACGTGGACAAATGATATAGAAATTTCTTGGAAGGTTCCCAAAAAAAGTTGTTAAATTTCTAAAATGTGAACCATTTTGAAACCAAAAATTGCAAAAAAATTCTGGTAGGAAAATCAGACAAGTGGAACGGAATTCCCTCGTCAGAAATTTTTGAACATCTATACTTCGTGAAGTTGTTCTGTCTTCTTGGAATGCCAGAAAATGCTGTTCCATTCACCAGCAGGAATTTTCTCAGGAAAACGCAAACAGGAATTTTTGGTCAAATGTAAAGCATCCCAAGTTTAGTTTGTTAAGGTTCCATTTTGTCCTTGTTGTTGTTAAAATGGCATAATTTTTGTTTCACCAAAGTAGATAAAAAATGTCTTGCTCAATGTGGTCCTATTTTACTTTTGCAGTCCAGATGATGTGCAATCAATTATAAGTGGTAAACTGGCTTTAAGATATTCTGGATCACAGGTACCAAACTAAAAAAGAGCTAGATCTTTTTTTGTCATGGAATGTTTTTTGATTATAGCTGCATCAACCCTACCTTGTATCCCTATTTAAACAGTTCAAGGGTCATGAACATTGTCTTGCACCGATGTACATTTGTATGGTAGCTAGATCATTAATAAAAAGGCTAAAAGTCTTGTGTATAAATCACAAAACCTGTGGTTCTTCATATGGTCCAAAGAAGTTGCCATAGTTAGAACTGGCCGGGGTTAAAATTATTATCAGTAAAAGGTGTACACCTATCACAGGTTATATTTGCAGCATATAATTATTTACCAGATTGCTAATACATGTACTATTTGCTCGTACCCTTTTAAACTGTACACTTTTGTTCACAATAGATAGTCAGACACTTGACCATTGTAAGGACAGTGACTCTTATTTTCCAATCATATTGCATGATTAAAGACCAGAATATTTCCCTTCATGATGTCTTGTTTCTAGTGGCAATAAAATGCATGGAAAATATCAACGTTTTTGTGTCTTAATTTTTTTCTCAGTTGGTTGCAATGAAGAGCATTGCTAATGCAAGCCACAACAGATCCCTGTCTGAATTCCAACAGGTATGGTCACTTGTCTTTGCAATTTTTGGCATGGATCTTAAGCTGGTTCCATCTTTATCCTGTATTAATTTACAACGTACGCCGTAAATAATCCCGTATTTTTGTCAGGGTTAGTATAATGAGGGAGCATGCAAGTTCACATGAAAATTGTCTTCCATAAGGAGAGGTGACACGTGTATTTTTGCATGTGCTCACGTGCTTGCCCACTAAGCTAGGGCTCCCTGAGAAAAGTGAGGGACTACTCATTGAAGTCTTAGAAACAGATCTATTGTAGTGGAGGGGACCAGAGGATCAGGAGACACATTTTTGATTAATACTCTAAACCTTCTGTTCCCAAGGAAACTCCTACAAACTATATATCAATAGAAAGGTTATGAAAAGTAAAATTTGGTAAAATTATGTTTTGGTTTAGCTATTGCTTTCCTAAGACGGCAGAAGCGTTAACGCCAAAATATCCGGCTGACAAAGAAATATTCAAAAAAGTGTTGACCTGCCTTTTCTCTTTGAAATAACTCGAGAGATATTTTAAATGTGCTAAGTCTCCGTTTTCAACACAAGCATTTGTTGTTCTTTCTCTAAAGGCACTCAGCACATTCAACCAGGAGCTGACTGAGGATCCTATCATAAGGGTACGTATTAATTTAAATATACTGCAGTGTGAGCTTTTCTGATGAGCTGGAGAAAACAGTAACCTGAATTGGTCAGATGTTGCTAAAAGGGTTAACAGCAGAAATTAACAACTAGGATTGACAAAAAAAAAAATGTACACTGTACTTCTGGAAAAGTTGCTTGAACTAGCTACAAGGTCAGAAATGTATAGTATAGTGTACTGACATCCTGTACAAAAAAATACTGTTTTGCATTTTGTCTTGTTGTACATGTGTGTCAATTTTGAACATGTTCCTTTTTTCAGACTCATTTAGACGCTTTGTACGACAACTTACTAGAACAGAACCTTAGTCGAATTATCGAGCCTTTCGCTCGCGTTCAGGTAGGAATATGTTCTTGTTCAGGTCAGTGAAATGTACATGTGTATCCACATAGTCACTGCACAGTCTGCAAGTTTCATACTGAATCGTGTACATTTTCTTTGTCAGATCGAACACGTGGCCAGTCTTATCGCTCTATCACTGGTATGTTAAGTTCTGACTGATAAACATTTGAGAAGTCTTAAGTTAATGCAATTACACAATCATACTGGTAGAAATCTGTAAGGGTAACTCCCTATAGCTTTGCGATATTGGTGAAATGAAAGGTTAATAATTTTCACTGAACAAGTGAATATATGAAATATCATATATTTGAACTGCGGAAAAAGATATGAAGACGTGATTGATCATCGCAGTTATACACACAACTTAAGCAATTGTGAAATTAAAGCCTTAAAAAAATTCAGGCTTGAACGGGATTCGAACCCATGGCCTCCGCGATACCGGTGCAGTGCTCTACCAACTGAGCTATCAAGCCAGCTGGGAGCTTGCCACTTTGTGAGTTACAAACAACTGGTATAGCCCTTCACAGTTGTGGTTTCATTGTTAGTTATTTTGCCTTCCGCTTGATCTTAACTTTAGAATGTGGTAGAAAAGAAACTTTCCCAGATGATCCTTGACAAGAAGTTACATGGTGAGTTGATGTCTTCATGTACTTCTTTTGTAGTAGTAGCTAGATGTAAATCATTGCCAAAATTAAGCGTTGTAAGCGGTTCCTTCACTACGCTCGCTTCTCGAAAGTCGCTTAATTAATAACATGCTGCAACCCAATTGTGATGTCAGAACCTTCGTAGTACCCCTGCTATTTCTCATCAGAAACTCTTCGGGGTTTTGTTCCGAAGGGTTTCCGACGCTTGTATCTCGGACTCGCATAATTTTCCGGTTCTTATCATCCAATCAGGGAAGAGCGCGAGCACTCGTGAGTGCTCCGAAAGCTCCAACGCCATCATATTGCTGCGTAACAACTTCTTGACGAAAGTACGGGTTTAGTTCGGTGTCAGAGTATAATTTGTGAATTTATGGTCTCGTTCTTTTTTTTTTAATTTTTATCTTTATTTTTATTTTTTTCAGGAATCCTTGATCAAGGTTCCGGAGTGCTGGTCGTGTTTGACGAAACGCCAGTGGATAAAACGTACGAGAACACGCTGGAATTGATTCACGAAATGGGAAAAGTTGTGGATGCCTTGTACAGTAAAGCCAAGAAGCTTCAATGACGCTGTCATTATTTATACCATTTAAAATGTCTAGCTTGAGTTTTTCGTTGTAACAATTGAAATAAGCCTTTGAAATAAAAATATTAAAAGAATTTTGAAATTTTGTGTTATCATTGTTTGGAACTTACCAGCTTATGAGTGTGTTAGATCCCTGAGCAAGCGTTTCAGATCGGTTCGAGAGCTGACTCGGAAGAGTGTTGGGCCAGGCACTTTTCTCTCACAGTGCCTCTCTCCACTAGGGAGGAAACACATTTATTAAAACCTAAGATGTACAATAAATCAGGGTGCTCTTCGTTCATGACTAATGAGAACTTAGATAAGCATCCGGGATGCAGATATAATTTTTTAAGAAGATTGAAACTTGAATCAGTGTATGAAACTGATTACAATGGAGAGGTGTACATGTAACTCCGGCATAAACGGGGTAAAATTGTTAAGGATTACACAGGTTGGGATGCGGGTCCCGCGTTAACGGGATTTTCTAATATAAGAAAATGTATGGGCGTTTCGCCGGGACAAAAAAGAGTGGCCGAAATAACGGTCCACTGTATTTTCATTGAACCTTGCGCAGGCGTGCCGTCCAAACCCTCTACCCCACTCCCGATGCGTACAATTCTTGTCCTATTCTAGATACAAGGCCCTCTCGGATAAAAGCATCACAGACGGCCATCTTGTTACATCGAAACATCGAACCGGCACGTATACATTCTCGAGCCGTTACATCGCAATCGAAGGAAATGAACAAGGTGAAAAAGGGCTACGAAACAAGGATACAACAAGATTTGCTAACTGACGCTATTTTAGGCAAAAATAGGATCAAACTGTACCAGCAACACTTCCAAGTAAGTCTTGTACTGATGTAAGCTTATTGCGATAGGCTGTAGCCAGAACAAAATGACTGATCAATCACGAGGCAATGGCCATGGTTATTTAGAGTGTTTATGATGACTACGTTTAAACACAACACTGGGATCACGGAAAATAATGACTGAGGCAAGTGCCTTTGTTCGCCTGTTACAAACTACATGACTTGTACGACCCCGTTGAGCTTAAGTTCATAGTAAGCTGTAACAAAAACGGTTTCCTTACAATTAGCTTAGTTTAGTCCTTAGTTCTTCCTTTAATATGAGGCAATTTTTCGTCTCTGTAATGTAACTTTAATGTCCGATC